CGCGGCGAGCGTCTAGCCGCGACTACCGTGATTTTTGTTTAATGTTTAAAATATTTTTTATTTCAGGCCGAGAACATTGTTCCTCATAATTCTTTTTTCTTACACACTTTCTGGGTTAGTGAGTCTTACTGTAAGCTGGGATGAACGTTTCGTAAAATTCTTCAGCAAGCGTACATGACTTGTCGTTTTCAATGGGGAGTGGGGGGGGGGGGGGGGGGGGGGGGTAACAACAGTATAGTGTCTGGTACTCTGAATCCAGCAAGACAGTGAGCTAGCTTTGGGTCAATAAATGAAAATGCGTACTTGCACTTGTGCCAGATATGTACGGACATCGCAGTATCGGCTGCAAGCCAGAAAGCAAGAAGGAAAACAAAAGGTGGGAATGGACGGAATGTAGGTTCTAAAAGTTAAACAATCATCATTCTTCACCGTCCTTACCACACCACGTTTTAGGGAAGTGGACTCTTTCTATTACCGTCTTTACCTATACCGTCATTTTTGTGCAGTAGTCTTTCTATTACTGTCTTTACCTATACCACCCTTTTGTGCAGTAGTCTTTCTATTACTGTCTTTACCTATACCACCCTTTTGTGCAGTAGTCTTTCTATTACTGTCTTTACCTATACCAACTTTTTGTGCAGTAGTCTTTCTATTACTGTCTTTACCTACACCAACTTTTTGTGCAGTAGTCTTTCTATAACTGTCTTTACCTACACCGCCTTTTTGTACAGTAGTCTTTCTATTACTGTCTTTACCTACACCACATTTTTGTACAGTAGTCTTTCTATAACTGTCTTTACCTACACCGCCTTTTTGTGCAGTAGTCTTTATATTACTGTCTTTACCTACACCAACTTTTTGTGCAGTAGTCTTTCTATAACTGTCTTTACCTACACCGCCTTTTTGTACAGTAGTCTTTCTATTACTGTCTTTACCTACACCAACTTTTTGTGCAGTTGTCTTTCTATTACTGTCTTTACCTACACCAACTTTTTGTGCAGTAGTCTTTCTATTACTGTCTTTACCTACACCAACTTTTTGTGCAGTTGTCTTTCTATTACTGTCTTTACCTACACCAACTTTTTGTGCAGTTGTCTTTCTATTACTGTCTTTACCTACACCACATTTTTATGCAGTAGTCTTTCTATTACTGTCTTTACCTACACCAACTTTTTGTGCAGTTGTCTTTCTATTACTGTCTTTACCTACACCAACTTTTTGTGCAGTAGTCTTTCTATTACTGTCTTTATCTACACCGCATTTTTATGCAGTAGTCTTTCTATTACTGTCTTTACCTATACTGCCTTTTTGTACAGTAGTCTTTCTATTACTGTCTTTACCTATACCGCCTTTTTTGTGCAGTAGTCTTTCTATTACTGTCTTTACCTACACCACCTTTTTGTACAGTAGTCTTTCTATGACTGTCTTTACCTACACCACCTTTTTGTGCAGTAGTCTTTCTATTACTGTCTTTACCTACATCACCTTCTTGTGCAGTAGTGTTTCTATTACTGTCTTTACCTACACCACCTTTTTGTGCAGTAGTCTTTCTATTACTGTCTTTACCTATACTGCCTTTTTGTACAGTAGTTTTTCTATGACTGTCTTTAACTACAACACATTTTTATGCGAGGGAGGGCAGATGGGTTGCTTTCAGAGTTTCCACGAACTGCGCAGGTCTGAATTTATTTTTGCTTCTGGCAGAAATGTTCCCGATAACATCATACTGTGCCGTTACATGTTACTCCTTCCTCCTCAAGTACCTCAAATTTATTTTCTGCTCAACCTGAAGCTCTTCTCTTACTTCTTTTGCTATCACGACCTCCCTGACTCTAGTCTTGGCTGTACACGATCTTTAGTAGCTGTTTTTTTTTTTTTTTTTTAACTCTAGCTCAAATTTCCCCCACATAGAATGTAGTCACCGCCCACATCTGCTCCTCTAAATGCTTGGACATTCATCAAAAAGTTTTCATTGTTTGAATTCACGCAAAACTACTCAGTTTAATTCTTTGTCGCTCCAACTGGCAAGCGTGTAGTTGATTTGTGAATCTCCTTATGGACAAAGAAGATTGTACCTCCAAATATTAAATCTAGACTGTATACAGAACTCAGCTGGGCTTTCTAAATTTTCAATGGCTGCATCAAATCCTTCCCTTCTCCAGAGCCTTTTTCCACATTGATATTCTCACTTCCTACAGAAGCATAACCATACAGATTAAAACCTGGGGGAAGGGGAGCGGAAACCTTATGGCTCTGAGCTCTAGCAACCCCCGCTAGAAAACTTGGGGTTAGAGCAGGGGAGCAGAAACTGTGGGGACCTGACCCCCTAGCAGGCCCCGCTAGAGAACTTGGGATGGGGCAGGAGAGCGGAAACCTTATGGCTCTGACCCCTAGCAACCCCCGCTAGAGAACTTGGGATGGGGCAGGAGAGCGGAAACCTTTGGGGACCTGACCCCTGGTAGCCCCCGCTAGAGAACTTGGGATGGGGCAGGAGAGCGGAAACCTTTGGGGACCTGACCCCTGGTAGCCCCCGCTAGAGAACTTGGGATGGGGCAGGAGAGCGGAAACCTTTGGGGACCTGACCCCTGGTAGCCCCCGCTAGAGAACTTGGGATGGGGCAGGAGAGCGGAAAACTTTGGGGACCTGACCCCTGGTAGCCCCCGCTAGAGAACTTGGGATGGGGCAGGAGAGCGGAAAACTTTGGGGACCTGACCCATGGTAGCTCCCGCTAGAGAACTTGAGATGGGGAAAGGGGTGCTCAGCCCTGCCTACAAAATATGTATGATGGCTGTGACCCCTAACCCTGGACAGGTTTTTTTTTTTTTTATCTATTTGTTTATACATTTCACATTATTTCATATATAGTATTACTATATTTATTTGTCATTCTGAACATTATTATTATTATTATCGTGAGTCGCCACGGTGTAGCCACCTACGGATCGGAAGGTCGTGGGTTCGGGTCCTGGTGGACTGGACTTTTTTCCTTCCAAAAATGACCTTGGCTCCCAGGTCGACCCAGCCTTGAGTGGGTACCAGGTGCAGTCCTGGGAGATGAAGGCAGCCGACGTGATGCTGACCACATCACCCACCATGTTCCGACTGGTCTATAAAATATAGGTCTAGCCCTTTATGCCAAACAGCCTAAAGGCGTGAAAAAGGGCCCTTTACTTATTATTATTATTACACACTTAAATAACACGTCCTAAAAGCTTTAATGTCTCAAACAAATTAGTATTCTTCTTTCACCCCCCCCCCACACCCCCCTATGCCCCTGAACCCTGATCCAGGATATGAAAAGGATTGCATTAAGAATATACTTGCGAGCCTTATGTGACTGAGACAAAAAGATAATCTTCTTCTGCGTTCATCCGAAGAAGTTATGCCTTGTGCCCATTTACAGCATGGCTGCGATATTGCATCTTTCGGCCAACATATCCGACTTCTGCTGGCTTATGTTAACCGGGATAGCCTTCCCCGGCAAAAAGATAATGGTAATGATGATGACGCAATGGAAACATCATGACCTACTAAATGACAAAGTCAGTGTCCGTTTCCTGATTCCCCGCTCTGCCCCACTTTAAACCTAGATGATTTACGACTATGTCCACAATTTATAACAATAGGTTTCCAGACAACTGGGTCATCGGTACTCCAAATATAGAGGCCTAACATTCAACAGAAGCTCCTTACTCTGAAGGTGACATTTTGATTTATTTTATCTGTGCAGACTAGATGCGCTAGTTCAGTGGTTCTCAACCTGTGGGTGATGACCCCTTTGGGAAGTCGAACGACCATTTCACAAGGGTCGCCTAAGATCATCGGAAAACACATATTCACTGAAGTTATTCTTCTTCTTCTTCTGCGTTCGACATTAGTCATGCTAAACATTGAGTCCCGTCTGGGTCACAATTAGGATTGTGCGTTTAAGGTCGCCAACGGTCCCCCATAGCTTCTCTTGCAATGTGGATCCCCTGGGCCAGATCCATAGTCTTTGCTGGGAGAGGTTAGGGCAGTACTGCAGTATGTGCCCAGGGGTCTGTCTTTCTGCTCCACAATCACAGGCAGCAGATTCTTTTATGCCTACAGGTGTGGTAGAAGACCACAGTGTCCAGTCCAAAGTCTAAAAATTAATGTTTGTTCTTTCCTGTTGAGTTTGCTTATGCTGCCACTCTCTGGTCTGTAATCCGTATTCTGCCTTCTCCACTCCCGCTTGAAAGACTGCTTTAGCGCTGTTTTGGTTTCCTTGTAGCTGTGTGGTGGATGAGGTTGTGGAAGATCACTCCCAGCTTTTGCCAACTCATCTGCTCTCTCATTTCCTTGAATACCACAGTGGGCTGGTATCCACTGCAAGACCAGTTCTGCAACTGAAGTTATGAAGTAGGAGCACAAATAATTTGATGGTTGGGAGTCATCACAACACGAGGAAGGGTATTCTAGGGTCGCCGCATTAGGACGGTTGAGAACCAGTGCTCTAGTAATAAATACCGGATAATACCGGCTGTGTGTCATGCTACTGGTTATATTAAGAATGTTCTTTGTGCTGCCCACCTTTTAATCTCTTCACAATTTTCTCCCCAGACAACCTTCTTCCTCATTCTTTCTCTATCTCTTTTTCCGCTTCTCCTTTCCCCACTTTTTTGTTCTTCTCCCACCTCCTTTGGTATGAGTTGGCTGAGGGCCAAAAAGAAGAAGAAGTAGAAAAGAAAAAAGAAGAAGGAAGAGGAGGAAAAGAATGTGACTATATAGGGGAGGAGAAAGGGGAAAAGAAAAAAGAAGAAGGAAGAGGAGGAAAAGAATGTGACTATATAGGGGAGGAGAAAGGGGAAAAGAAGAATGGTACTACATAGGGGAGGAGACGGAGGAGGAGGAATAGTAGAAGAAGAAGAATGGTACTACACAGGGGAGGAGAAGGAGAATAGTACTACATAGGGGAGAAGACGGAGGAGGAGGAGTAGTAGAAGAAGAAAAATGGCATTTAAACAAACATTTATACTTACTTTAAATGAATATTCCAATTTCACCAAAAATGGAAAATTTATTGACTGCAATATTTTTTTCTCATTTAACGTGTGCTCTACTTGTTTTAACTTCACAACCTGAAAAGAAACAGAATTTACATTGATTGATTGATCGATTAACAGAATCAGCACTATAACATCCCAGAAATATTCCACATGTGATCCATCTCTCTCAAGAATTGTTAAGTGTTGGAATGATGACGGTTCCAAGAGTGCGCTGATCATGGATATGCCTCTGTCACCTCCGCTAGCCAGTCTTTATCAACAGACATGCCAAATTACAAATATAAAAGTCATAGCAAGGGTGACTGGTCCACCTGTGCCTGCTTGTAATGAGTAATTATCTCTCATATGTTTACAGTGTTAAAGTCTAGAGAGCTCATTACAATCTTCAAGATGTTTTTGATAAAACCTGAGAACAATACAACTAGAACGTATTTGTACTGGAACCCACAGGGACACAAGAATAAAGAATTACCCCCCCCCCCCCCAAACCACACACACACACACAAAAAAAACCACATGGAGAAGGGAGCTAAAGAGTAAAGTTAACAAGTTTGGGAGGTTATGGGGAGAGCTGTATGAGATAGGATGAACGACCTGGCATGAGTTATTTGAGGGTCTATGCTCCACTGGGGGTTAAAAAGGCAGAAGAAGAAGAAGATTATGCAGGAGCATAGATTAGGTTTAATATATTTTAAGTGTTTTTTTTTTAAATTATTATTTTAACCATATGGCATAGTCTATATTTGGAGAGATTTAGAAACACTGACACCAGACAAACTTCATTAGAGAATAAAGAGCAATGGGATAAAGTAAGTGATTTTCTTTTTAAATCTAGATAAAACGCCACATGGCATTGAGGGTATCTTCTGTTTTTCTTCTGATTTCACCGAAGATGTAAGTGTTGTGCCCGTTTACAGCATGGCTGCGATATTTGGTCCTTTCAGCCAACACATCTGACTTATGCAGGCATTTGTTGACCGTGTTATTCTTCCCGGTTAGTTTCCTGGGACATTGCATTTGCTGTAGTTTTACTTTTAGTCCCTCCTTCCATACTTTATCAACTTCTTTTTCTAAGTCTATCCACACTGCTAGCGTATGTTTTATATTTTTGTTGTCTTTTGGGAGGCATCCTCTTTTTTTTCTGGACAAAATATGCTACTTAGTCTTCACTGGATCTGTACTTTCTAAATCCTGCCTGTTGTGAAGTTAGAAGGTGTTTTTCTTTTACACGCCCTATTAACCTGTTATTTACAATGTATTTCATCAATCTGCCTACACAGCTAAGTAAGCTGATTGGTTGACAGGCGTTTGGTTATACCAGGTTTCATTTTTTTCTGGAACTGGTATGAGTAAGGATTCTGTCCATGCCTGAAGGAACTATTCCTCTCTTCCAGACGCAATTAGGGGCTGCTAGAAATGGTCTTTGCCCTTCGTACCCAGTCCTATTATCATTTCCTTTGTGATCTCACCCTTCCGTAGTTATTTCATCTTTTTCAGGGAACTCGCTGCTCGTTCCAGCTCTTCCTTACTTGAATTGTCAATCATAAATCTGATTTCTCTGTGTTACTGTGACATGCCTGTTACTTTTTCATTGCTTTGTTTGTGTGTGTGTGTTCTGCTGTGGCATTAATGTGATTTGCACTAGCATAGAATTCCATCAATGCATTCGCATCCTTTTTTTCCTGTTAGTATGTTGTTACCCTGTTTAATATTTATTTATTTGTTACTAAGAATGTTCATGGCTTTACTAGTTTCCATCTTTGTCTTTTTATTTTATCTTTTTATGAAATAACAATACTCCCAATTTGGGTTCCAAAGCTTCATTTTGGAGAACCAAGAATAGACTCACCACCCCTTTTCTTAATCAGTCTTGCTGTTATGTTTGTTTCACATGTAGCCGCGTCCTTGTGTAGAGTTGCATGCCATGCATTTAGATCTTGAGAGGCAGCCTCCCATTGGTGTCAATGAGTGAATACTTTAAGTAAAGACTTCAAGGGGTGTCCTTAAAGTGTTTCTTTTGCCCGCCTTGAGAATGTTTCCCATTGCAGCTCACCATAAAAGTTGTTTTTTGGGTGAGGGAAGGGGGGGGGGGGAGGAGCCTGTGATCTGGCATGCATGCCACATGACCAGGCCAACAAATTTGATACTGCATCAGTAGAGTGTGGATGCTGGGCATGGCTGCTTTGTTCCTTCAGTTTACTGTATGAAAGAGCCCAACAAATTTGATACTGCATCAGTAGAGTGTGGATGCTGGGCATGGCTGCTTTGTTCCTTCAGTTTACTGTATGAAAGAGCCCAACAAATTTGATACTGCATCAGTAGAGTGTGGATGCTGGGCATGGCTGCTTTGTTCCTTCAGTTTACTGTATGAAAGAGCCCAACAAATTTGATACTGCATCAGTAGAGTGTGGATGCTGGGCATGCTGCTTTGTTCCTTCATTTTACTGTATGAAAGAGCCCAACATATTTGATACTGCATCAGTAGAGTGTGGATGCTGGGCATGGCTGCTTTGTTCCTTCAGTTTACTGTATGAAAGAGCCCAACAAATTTGATACTGCATCAGCAGAGTGTGGATGCTGGGCGTGGCTACTTTGTTCCTTCAGTTTACTGTATGAAAGAGCCCAACAAATTTGATACTGCATCAGCAGAGTGTGGATGCTGGGCGTGGCTACTTTGTTCCTTCAGTTTACTGTATGAAAGAGCCCAACAAATTTGATACTGCATCAGTAGAGTGTGGATGCTGGGCATGGCTGCTTTGTTCCTTCAGTTTACTGTATGAAAGAGCCCAACAAATTTGATACTGCATCAGTAGAGTGTGGATGCTGGGCATGGCTGCTTTGTTCCTTCAGTTTACTGTATGAAAGAGCCCAACAAATTTGATACTGCATCAGTAGAGTGTGGATGCTGGGCATGGCTGCTTTGTTCCTTCAGTTTACTGTATGAAAGAGCCCAACAAATTTGATACTGCATCAGTAGAGTGTGGATGCTGGGCATGGCTGCTTTGTTCCTTCAGTTTACTGTATGAAAGAGCCCAACAAATTTTATACTGCATCAGTAGAGTGTGGATGCTGGGCATGGCTGCTTTGTTCCTTCAGTTTACTGTATGAAAAAGCCCAACACATTTGATACTGCATCAGTAGAGTGTGGATGCTGGGCATGGCTGCTTTGTTCCTTCAGTTTACTGTATGAAAGAGCCCAACAAATTTGATACTGCATCAGTAGAGTGTGGATGCTGGGCATGGCTGCTTTGTTCCTTCAATTTACTGTATGAAAGAGCCCAACAAATTTGATACTGCATCAGTAGAGTGTGGATGCTGGGCATGGCTGCTTTGTTCCTTCAGTTTACTGTATGAAAAAGCCCAACAAATTTGATACTGCATCAGTAGAGTGTGGATGCTGGGCATGGCTGCTTTGTTCCTTCAGTTTACTGTATGAAAGAGCCCAACAAATTTGATACTGCATCAGTAGAGTGTGGATGCTGGGCATGGCTGCTTTGTTCCTTCAGTTTACTGTATGAAAGTCCAGCAAATGTTGCAGAGAATGGTGTGTAGTGAGGAGCGACCAGGAAATCTGGCCAACATGCAACACTCAGGGGAAGGGTGAGACGGACAAACAATCAGCCTGTTACTGGTACACTGGAACTGGAACTCTGTGCTTGCTGCTGAAGATGGGGACAGAGCTTTTCTGGGTGTGCTATGATGTCAGTTTAAATCTCACAACTTTAAGAAAGTCCTTAACTAGGGCTTCTTCTTCAGATTCACCGGCTGTAACTCTGGCAGAAAGTTCTGGTTGTTCATCTACCACTGGACTTTAGAGAGACTTGTTCTACAACCTGAGTGTTGCGTTTACATACCTTTTAAATGTGTGCAGACTGCTGGTTTTCTTGCCTCTCAGGCAGATGTACTCCAACTTCACAGAAAGCTCCCGATAAGGCAACTCTCACGATCTGGGTCTATTCTCATTTTCCACCACAAAAGGGCCCCAGAACACACACGGGAACAACTGAGGTTTGAACCTAGACATCTCTGAGTTAAATCAGACTCCACATCTCTAAGCCACTCCAACTGCAATGTTAACGATCTAACAAGGCTCTAATGTAAACAGCCGGCTTCTCGTTAGCACACATTTCAATAATGAGATATTAATTAGTCCTGATTGTGGGGTCACACCCTGCAATAATAATGAGACTGCCCAATCAGCAGAATCCTTCTGAAATTCAATTATGCAATCTACAGAAAGATATCATTTCGATGCTGATAGATTATCAACATGAAGCAGTTTTTAATTCATACACCAACACTGATGCAGCCATGTATCCATAAAAATTTTAATTTTAGGATTCATCATCATCATCGTCATCCTCATCATCATCATCAGGTGTCGTTTAAATGCCACAGAGTGCTCATAGTCTATCCTCAATTCTGATCCGTGCAGTGAACATTGTTTCATTATCACAGATTGTATCCAACCCAGCCCCTTTGAATTCAGTTTTTGTTTATCCTGTAGTTTCTCTTGAATATCCTAGTTTCCATAATTCATCATCATTTGTTTCCCATTTTAGTACAATCAAATATATCATGTATATATATATATATTTGTATGTATGTATGTATGTATGTATGTATGTATGTATGTATGTATGTATGTATGTATGTATGTATGTATGTATGTATGAATGTATGTATGTATGTATGTATGTATGTATGTATGTATGTATGTATGTATGTATGTATGTATGTATGTATGTATGTATGTATGTATGTATGTATGTATGTATGTATGTATGTATGTATTGTATGTATGTATGTATGTATGTATATATATATATATGAGATGTCCAGAAATATAGCTTTAACATGTAGCTCTGGGTGCAGTTAAGGGTCAGCGGCTGATAAGAGGGAGGTCATGGATGGCTCAGGCAGAAGACACAATCAGACAGGTTTGCATCCTTGAGAACATTAGGCGAGGAGAGGAGTGGGTCAAAGTGCCACCTGAACAGTCAGACTTGTGTAGAGTCATAATCATGCTGAGCTGGGAATGCAGAGACTGGCTAGCAGGTGCCACCGAGGTGGAAATTCAGCAACTAATTAAAGATAATGCTCGCTAAGAGGATTTGGTCATTTACACAGATGGTTCAGTGTCAAGAGGCAAAAGAAGTGCTTGGTGCTTCTTAGCAAAAGTTAATGGTCGACGTTTGGTGCAGGAGAGCCTAGCATATGATACCACAACATCTAGCTTATGAATTGAGGTGGAGGCGGTTACTGCAGCTTTCCGCTGGCTAGAGAACACCACACACACACACATTGTGATTGTAACTGACTTAGAAAGCATGCTGAGGAAGATCATAACAGGTATGCTTCGTGCAGGGTAGCATGCTTCGCTGGGGAGGACATGGGTGAGGAGTACTGTCTTGATTATTTCACCGAGGGACGCCGGTGTGTTGGGAAATAAACAGGCGGAAATACTGGCTGGCTCTGCACAACTTGGTGAAATACTGATACATGATAAGGTTAGGGCCTTGTGAGAGAGCATGTACAGTTCGGAGGAGCAGATGGATCACCACAGTCTGGTGAGATTGATGCATGGGGAAGTGACGTGAGGTTCTGGCAGATGCTCGAGGCTCAGAGGAAAGGCAAGACGGACGTTTAATCAGAATGCTACTGGCACCATTAGTATCGGAACTCTTCACTGGCTGCTACAAATGGGGACGAAGCGCTTATGGGAATGCCCCGAGTGCTGTGATGTGGGCTGTTGAATCAAATCAAATCAAATCATGTGGTGCGCAGATAAATGAAATATAATCCATTTCATTCTGTTCACTCTTCCCCAAATGTTTACATATTTTGAATAATAATTTAATAGCATTTAACAAACAAAACAATACAGAATCATGCAAATTCACATGCACACACACACCGACACACACACACGGAGAGGGGGGGGTTGGAAGAAGGGTGGCAGAGATTGAGGACAAAAGTGTCTGATTGTATGAGTAAGATATGGAGATAAAGGGTGGCAGAGATTGAGGACAAAAGGGTCTGATTGTATGAGTAAGATATGGAGATAAAGGGTGGCAGAGATTGAGGACAAAAGTGTCTGATTGTATGAGTAAGATATGGAGATAAAGGGTGGCAGAGATTGAGGACAAAAGGGTCTGATTGTATGAGTAAGATATGGAGATAAAGGGTGGCAGAGATTGAGGACAAAAGTGTCTGATTGTATGAGTAAGATATGGAGATAAAGGGTGTCAGCAGAAATTAAATAAGACGCACAAGAGACATGTACACCTCAAAGACACTTTAGGTCTCACTAAAAGTTCCCAGCAAATTGAGAACACTTGATTCAATTGTAAACAATAATTATTCTATGCCTGTAAAGTGCAATCAATTTATTTTCACTAGACAAAGTCTTTAAATATCAGCACTACCAATTTATTTCCAGTAGCCAACCTAAAAAAATGGTGTTTCCATGGAGCTGTTTTTCTGTGGCAATCGGTTGCCTAATTATGATTCCACCACAGCATAAAAACGTTGTAGGCCATTGGCACTGATAGTAACAACTGCAATGAGCTTAGAATCTAACTGCAATGAGCTTAAAATCCATAAAGGATTAAACTCTGACACTTCATTCAAGTTATATCCACCCAACCCCTGCTCTCCCCAATCATACACATCTTGTCCGCAATTTTCAACCTGTGCGACTCATGACCATCTGCATTTATAACCTTTTTTTTTTAAATCTGCAAATAACAATAGAAAATTAAGAAAATTACACTGGTATGGTAAAAAACTTGTTGGAACTGATGCCTAGAGCACAGCAGGGTCTAATTATTTGTACAAAAAGGTATAATATGTACATACATTGGTTTTGTGTGTTTTATCTGTGAGAGCCAGTCTATTTACCACACAGACAGAGCGAGAGGAAGGGAGAGAGCCAATCTTTTCAGCGCACCTCCGTGCACATACACACAGACAGCCAATCTATTTACCTTCTGTTTGTCCAAGATTTTCATAGCATAGTATGTTTTTCCTTCTCCTTTGTGTTGGACTAGCATGACTCGGCCGAAGGAGCCGGTGCCGAGTGTTTTGATTCTGTCAAAGTCATCCAGACAGGATGAACTCTGCAAACAAACAAATAAGCATACATGACAGCAAACAACAGAATATGATAATGCACATATTATTTTTTTTTTTTCTTTTGTTCTTCATCTCCCTAATAAGAAAACTAGAACTGAAAACCAGTCATCCAGTTTATTGAGAAAAAGCAAATAGATATGATGGTCTGATCATCTGATGTGAATGCCCTGATACAAACTGCCTTGCCCTGCTTGGGAAACATCATAATAACAGAGGAAGGGAAACCCCCCAAAAACCCACACATAACATGGAACAATGGCATTAAGAACAGCCTTTAAGAAATAAACATCAATTTATAAAGCACATTAGAAGAAAGTTAAATCTAGGTTAAAGTTGCAGCTAAGAGGATTTACTTCATTGCACTTGGTTTTATTCCCCTGGGCTCAGTCTCTCTCCACAGAACAGCTAGCCATATGCCGAGAGTGTTGCAGAAGCCCTAATTCTGCATTTCCAGAGATTACCCCAGGGGTTTCATGAATTAAATGATGCAGCTATGAAATGAAGCCATGACCTCTGGAGCATGAAGGCAAACAGCTTGACCACTTAAGAGTACATGGCAGTACAGACAGGACCTCCTCCCCCCCCCCCCCCCCCCCAAAAAAAAAAGATAAACCTTTAGTGGGGTCCGGGATGCTGGGTTCGATCCCAGCTGCGGGCCATGGGCCTTGCGTTGGTTTCGACAGTGGTATCAAGAAAGCCAACCATCCAGAAAACAATGGCAAACTACTGGACGTAAATTTGCCTAGAAAAACCACACAACAGCTAGGGGCTGCTGGGGTTGGTTCTGCAACGTCCTGTAAAGGATAGACAACTAACTTTTAGTGGGGTAGTAGCAGCAGCAAGAGAAGAAGACGACCACTAAGAGATAACACTGTGCTAGCGCCAAATTTTGAAATTGTGAACGGCTCCTATATAAAATTAAAACCTGTGAGATAAGGTGTCTGAGGAAAGCATTCAACGTGACCAGCTGATTAATGATACTATCAGACGGATTGTGGGAACATCATCTTGCACCAAATTCACTGAGTTGCAGATCAAATGGTTTGGTTATCTTGTTAGAGTGAAACCAAAATGACTATCTGGCTGTAGCTAAAAAAAAAATGGTGTTAGAGCAAAAGGGCACCAAATAAAATTGAGATAAAGACATTCAAGATATTACACATAACTTTGGAATGACTAGCCGGTGCTACATATTAAGCACAGAATCAAGAAGCGGTGGCCAACTGTTGCTTCCCATTTCATTAGAGAACAAGACAGGTGCGAAGACAATGGCTTGAATCATTACAGAAGTCCACTGTCCGTGGAGTCACCTTTATTTTTGTTCCAGGACACGCAGGCGTCGATGGAAATGAAAGAGCTGACAGGTTGGCTGGATCCGCTATCACTACCGACGGTCGGCCTATGGATCATGCTGATATTATCAATGCCCTCAGAGAAATGGGAAGGATAGACGACTTTGGTGGCAGTGAATCCACATCATTCGCCAGAATGGCAGACTTGGGAATTAAGATCGGCACAGCAAAAAACGAGACGCACACCAGCTACGCCAGAAGACTTGTTAATCAACATAGAACTGGTACTATTAGCCATCGGACGTTGGGGTTCATACTGAGGGGAGGTTCTGAGCACCTATGGACATGTCCGGAGTGCGATGAGGATAACCCAACTAACTAACTAACTAACTAACTAACTAGAGAACAAGAGTGGAAGATGTCAATAATGATGGATGATGTTGAAGTAAAGACCGTCAACCAACTTACTCTATCTATTCCATCTTTCATAGTTGTTTTTTTCATGCACTTCCCATATTATCTGCCTGTCTCTACTATTCTCCTCTATGCACTGTCAGTCCTTCCTATGTTTCTTATGCTCAATGAGGTTTCAGAGAAATCCTACCTAGGTGCATGTCAAAAGTGGGGCAGCCATCTCTAAACTGCCACAACATCATCGTATCCGTCTGCACCATGATGTTATATGCTTAACACTCTTGACATCTTTAACAAAAATACTGACAGGCTACAAGACAACGATATGGTTACTGAAATAACATGCTTTTAAGATTTTTCATTTGAAGCCCCTTTCATAACAACTGTTTGTTTTTCTGCACATTTCTGATCCATATTGCAGAAATGATTTAACAACTACATTAAATATTTTAAGTCTGGCATTTGATCATATTTTGTTTGGCTTTCTCAAATTTCCTTGTGTTATAAACACTCCACTGTAGGAACAACACCATGCAGCAAATTCACTGAGAAACAGAAGATCGAATGATTTGGTCATTTAGTAAGAATGCAGCCAGGACAACTACCAATGCAAGCACTACACGTGAAAGGATCTGAAGTGAAAGCAAGAGGCATCCCTAGGAGAAAACGGATTGATAACATTAAAGAGCTTCTACATCGACAAGGAATGACAGTAGCCATTGCTGCCTATCAAGCAATGGATGGCAAACTGTTCCTCGCCACAATGCTTAATGGCAGAAGTGGAAAATGATGTTGGCAAGATGATGACAAAAGCTCCTCTTGCTTTTTGAAGATGAAAAAAAGCCAACATTTACTATGGACTTGATGCTTGGGAGACTGATGTATGTGTTTTATCACACAGGGAAATATCTGGTGATGAAAACTGACCCTGGATCAGTAAAAGCACTTTTACGTAATGACTTTTGCACCGAATGACTGGTCCAGGCACACAATCTTTACGGCAGCCATGGTACTCAATCTTTATCCCCACTGCATAAAAATAAATGAAAAACTATTATGGCAAAAACCTGACATTTACACAATGTAAACTGAGTGCCAAGAAAATGTGTAGTGCTGTCTGGGGATGCATTTCAACAAGTGTAATTTCAGGACAGCGAATTTTGCAAGATCCGCCTGGTTAATCATCATAATAATGTGCAGGTTATTTGCAGAAAGTCACTTTATTACATCATCATCATGTGCTGTGGAAACAAAAAGAATAAGCATGCAAATCTCAAGTTTTAGAACAAGACCAAAGTCCAGAAGTGGAGGAACAACCAGAATTTTCCACCAGTCTAAGCCAGCAAACACTAAGACGAAGAAGAATTTGGCTAAAATATTACATCTGCTGATGCATGATGGTGTTTAGCAGCTCATTCTTAATATCTTGGAAAACTGAAGCATAATTACTCTTCTCAGTAGGGCGGGAGTAATGCTGACCACATTACCCACCTAGTGCCAAATGGTCTGTTAAAATATTGGATGCTCTTCCCATATGCCCAATGCGCCTAAGGCGTAAAAAGGGATCTTGACTTTACTTTACTTTACTCTTCTCAATACAATTTATTTTCAGAATTTCAAAACCTTTTATTTTCTTATTCCTTCATTTCCAGCACTTTATCTCCATATAGAAAGGCTTCCTTTTCAACTCACTCCAAGCTGACCTATCTTGTGCCACTCACCCCACATGCTCGCTATCCTTTTCAAATCATTTTGAGGGCCCTTTGGGAACTGGTGAACACTGCGGAGGTGCAGACAGATCATTACGATCTATGGAGAGTTGCGCTGTGAGGAGTTACCAGGGGATCTGGTTGACAATCAACACTCAGGAAAAGGATGAGAAAGATATAAAATCAGATGGTTACTGGTATCACTGGAACTCTTCACTTGCTGCTGATGATGGGGACTGAGCACACTTATGGGAGTGTCTCAAGTGCTGTGATGTCGATTCTTAATTCAACATTCAACATACAAATCATCCTGTACAGTGGACAGACTGGTAAGAAGAGGGAGTGAGATGGTGCAGGCAAACAGCGAAATAATTTACTAGGAGTCTAAGATATTAGTAAAATCTAGTATCCAAGAAAGTCACTGGAGACAAACACCAAATTTTCAACCCAAGACTCGCTTCATCGCCTCTCAAGAGAGGGTCAGTGTAGGCTATTCAGAATCAGGACAGGGCACAATAGAATTCGCCAACATAAGAGATGCAACTTGGTATCTGAAAATACTCAGCAGGTACTCCAGCATTGTAGACTGTATGTTGCTAACACAGAGAAGAAGAAAAAAGACTATTCCTCTGACCCTGTGGGTTCTGGTGCAAGAACATTACAAAAATACTGTTATCAGGTTTCTTCCACTTGCCTTCTCACTGTTCTAAATCAATCAATAAATGTTCTTATTATTTGTTCACTATCTCTCCTTCTATTTGTGCCTTCTCTGTTTCATTTATGGAGTTAATGCCAATTCTTTACTACTGGTGCGTTTCACTCCCAGACATAACAAAATAGTTTCACCAGTGTTTCGAATATATGTCCTTGCTCCAGCCATTTTCTTCTTCAGTGATTGTGAAATTGTCCATGATTCATATCTATATGTTGTCATATTCTTCTTCAGTGATTGTGAAATTGTCCATGATTCATATCTATATGTGTCATATTCTTCTTCAGTGATTGTGAAATTGTCCATGATTCATATCTATATGTTGTCATATTCTCTTCAGTGATTGTGAAATTGTCCATGATTCATATCTATATGTTGTCATATTCTTCTTCAGTGATTGTGAAATTGTCCATGATTCATATCTATATGTTGTCATATTCTTCTTCAGTGATTGTGAAATTGTCCATGATTCATATCTATATGTTGTCATATTCTTCTTCAGTGATTGTGAAATTGTCCATGATTCATATCTATATGTTGTCATATTCTTCTTCAGTGATTGTGAAATTGTCCATGATTCATATCTATATGTTGTCATATTCTTCTCAGTGATTGTGAAATTGTCCATGATTCATATCTATATGTTGTCATATTCTTCTTCAGTGATTGTGAAATTGTCCATGATTCATATCTATATGTTGTCATATTCTTCTTCAGTGATTGTGAAATTGTCCATGATTCATATCTATATGTTGTCATATTCTTCTTCACGTTCACTGGCTGCAAATTCATGTGGAAAGTTCTGGTTGTTTGTCCACTTCTAGACTCTAGTATAGTACCAGAACTTGATTTTGCATGCACATCCGTCTTACTGATCTGACTAATTAGTAGGTGTCATAAAAGATATTAATCTTTATAGGAGAGGGATAGACTTAAAAGGAAGCCATCGCTCCTTAGTTCAGGAATGCCACAGTGTCTACTAACTCTACTAACACACATGTATAGACTTTGCTATATTTTTTTAATGAGGTCATGGACACAACTTTTAGACCCCTGATTTACAGGTTCAGTCCCTATAGGATTCGGGGTCCTGTTTCATGGCTTAAAAGCAGACTCGCCAGCCCCTAATTAGCAGACTCGCTGCCCCCAATGAAGTGACTAATTTAAGGTTTTGCCAGAATCAAAAGCCGTGGACCAAAAGGCACAGATATCCCACCCTAGTTGTAAAACACACCACAATACACCAACTGCCATTTTAGAAGCAAGAGGAGGACAGTCTGTATCAGGGCTATACAAATGGCAGCCTGGGGGCCAAATCTATCCCGCAGATGCCTGGCACTTGACCCGTGCATCACTGCCAGTTGTATTTTAATAATGATCTTTCTATGCTGGGGCTCAGAGCTCTGGTTCATGATGATCACCATTCTCAAAAGTTTGACCCTGAGTAAACTAAATAAATAGTCCTGGTCTATACACTGGCTCTGGGAGTCGCAGTAGCAGCTAGATGCTAGCCTGCGGATCAGAAGGACATGGGTTCACCCCCTGGCAGAGACGGACTTTTTAAAAAAAAAATGAATTTGGCTCCCAGGCCGACCCAGCCTTGAGTGGGTACCGGGTGCAGTCCTGGGAAGTAAAGGCCGCCGGCGTGATGCTGACCACATCACCCATCTTGTGCCGATTGGTCTATAAAATATAGGTCTAGCCCTATACGCCATTTACGCCTAAAAGCGTGGAAAAGGGTCCTTTATTTGAATTGTTTGATTATGTTTCACTATACACTAGCTCTGATGGGACCAATATAATATGCTATGCAACAATGAATGAACCTCATTATTAGCACATTTATACCCCTCTACATCTGCACGCAACTTGTACAGTTTAAGGATTTTACAAAAGCTATTAATCTGGTGATTTAATTATTGAGCCCTGTCACATAATAAAGTCGTGACTATAATAAGCCAAACAGGGCATGTGTTGGCCTAACAATGTGCACACAAACTTGCACATTGTGACATCTGGCTGCGTGACTAAACAGAAATTGTGCGGTGGAGTTTGTAGCTTACTGGCAACTTTGTGGCTGATATAAAATGGACTTCTTGGTTGGTTGGTTGGTTGTTAGGTTGCGAATCACATGGGGGTCTTCACTGCAAAGTGGTCAAGCCATTTGCCTCATGTTTTTTTTTTTTAACATCGCTCTACAGTTTCATTTCTATGTGTTTTTTGGTCTGCCCTTACTCCTTTTACCTTATGGGTTCTAGTGCAAAGACATCTAGTTATAATGTTATCAGATTTTTTCAGTGTGTTGTATCCAAACCAGTGTGTTGTCCCCATATCTTGATTTTCCTGAATTTGCTTAGTTCTCACTCAAAGCTGTACTTTAGCGACTCTATCAAACAATTTAATCCTTCTATTCTGCACAGGCATCAGTTAATAAATATTTGTGGAAACAGCTTTATTTCATTAGAACAAGTCTTTTTCAGGGTTCAGTAGTGTTGTGATATGGAAATAAAATGTCTGAGAAATCTGCAGAAGTGACCTTTCATTGAGGAGATAGCACAACATATATTTAAACTGAAAGGGGTCAGTCTAATCATTTACCTTACTATAGTATGTGCATTTGAGTCTCTCCCCCTAAGTCTGTGTGTGTGTGGGTTGGTGTATACTAGGTGTGTGTGCATGTGTGTGCGTGCATGTGTGTGCGTGCATGTGTGTACGCCCATGCAAGTGTATGCATGCCCAAGATTTTTTTTTTCCTGTCTTCATTTGCTCTGAATTCTAAGGTAAACAGCAATGACAAAGGAGAACAGAAAGAAAAAGAACAAAATCCAAAACAGAACAAGATCATTTTCCCAAGCCAAGGTCATCAAGACTGAAGCACAAGGTCGGGCACTGTGCTTTAACCCTGTCTAGATACCTGATATACAGCGCCTAATTAAACACTGTATACTTCTGCCAGGCCTTTGACAATGTGAACATGAGAACAATGATATTTTCACTTGTCACTGCAGAATTTGTCCTCTGTGACTACACTTGTAGACCTGTCCAATAATTAGGGCTGTCTTAAAACAGCGTCAGTTTTTGTGCCCACCTAGGGGTTTCTGTAGAACATAAGGCTGATTGTTACCAAAGCATCTTTAGACACGGTCATATTCTTCTTGTCCAATCCTTTTATCAGGAGGCCAGTAGCCTTTATGAAAGCTATCGTGCAATCCATATCTGCTCATGTACCATATAGTTTTGTCTTCATTGTGGTTGGAACAGGCCAGATTGCGTGTCTGTTGTCAGCATACAGTTGACAGTGGAGCACATGCTCAGCATTTTATGGTGCCACTCTATAGAGGCACAACATCTCCGTGTTTCCTACACCAACAGCTATCTGACTAGTGGAGTTTTTTTTAATGCATACTATTGCTGATCCTACCTCTAGAAATGGCAGAAACTGGTATGTTTCTAGTTATTAATTTGTTATCAAATCTCTTGATATGCGTAGTTGTCTACTATCCAGACAGAGGACTGGAATGGAACAAAGCCAGAAAGAAAACTGCTGATAAAGATATGTCTGGTTATTTTTCTGGCAAACCTCTACACCCCAAGGTAGAAGAGAAGCGACTAAGTAAGTAAATCTACTATCCACATTTTTGCAATCTTATCTCTCACTTGGGTGGTTCTCTTTCTATCCATAATTTTACTTTTCTTATCAATGGATACAGGCATTTCTCTTAGCATCCAAACTGATGCAGTTCTTTTCAATGGAAACAGGTAGTTCTCTCAGTATCAATATTATTGTTGTTCTTATCTCTAAACACAGACAGAAAAACTATCCATATTGTTGTTTTTACTCTGGCCGTGGAGAGTTTTCTAACTATCCATATTGTTATTTTTATATCTGGACATGGAGTTTTCTAACTATCCATATTGTTGTTTTTACTCTGCACATGGAGAGTTTTCTAACTATCCATACTGTTGTTCTTATCTCTGACATCAATACTTTTCTAAGTACCCATATTGTTGTTTTTATCTCTGGACATGGAGAGTTTTCTAACTATCCATACTGTTGTTCTTATCTCTGACATCAATACTTTTCTAAGTACCCATATTGTTGTTTTTATCTCTGGACATGGAGAGTTTTCTAACTATCCATACTGTTGTTCTTATCTCTGACATCAATACTTTTCTAAGTACCCATATTGTTGTTTTTATCTCTGGACATGGAGAGTTTTCTAACTATCCATATTGTTGTTTTTAATCACTGAACATGGAGAGTTTTCTAACTATCCATATTTCTGTTAAAATATCTAGACACAGATGGTTTTCAAGCCATCTAAATTATTGCTCACATTTCTGGACAAGGGTAACTAGCTATCATCATTATTGTTGCTGTGATGACAGCAGTGCTCTCACTCACACACACACAAATAATTAACCTTTTAAGCTATCTTACCCACACATATATACTAGATAATCTCATGGTAAGAAATGACAGCATGAGTGATGTTGACCAAATCAACCACTGTGTGCCAAACGTTCAAATAGAAATAGAGACCTGACATGATATGTCTGATGTATGAAATGGTGTGAAATGAGTCACAAATTTAGATTTTCCCCCATTTAAAAAAGATTTACAAATAAAATATTCTTTTAGTAGAAGATACGTAACACACACAAAAAAGGACAAAATACTAATAATAAAAGACAATCAGAATATGTAATTAATACAGCTAAAATCTGCTTCAGTGTAAAATGCTTCCTTATATAGTTTATGGACAAAGAAACCACCTTCCTGTTGTTAGAGATTTATCAAATTTATAACCTTCTAGCATCAGCTCTGTATAGTTATTGTACTACAAATAGACTCGTACATTAACTCTCAGTTCCAGAGGCTTATGTAGCAGATTCATGAAATAGAGAAATCCACTATTAAAACTTACAAGCCAGTTAATTTCAGGAGTAAATATACACTTCTTCATTTTATATTTTACGGCTTTGGATGTTGAGGGAGACAGAAGGTTGTAGTTCTTGCTCTTCTGGCCTCCCTGTGTGGGTTCCAGGCCCCATTGTGGGGGCGCTGGGGGGTCAAACCCACTGCCTCACTTATATGTGCATACAGATGTGCACACAGAACACAGACATGCACACAGAACATAAACATACAGAAAAGAAACATATACACTTACTGGAGGCGCATGGTCCCATTTTTGTTGAAATTCTTCTTTTGCTCTAGCAAGAAACTCTTTGACTGCAAATGGACAGAAAAAAAAATATGTTGACTAAAATAAACACACAAACCGTGTGGTGTCAATTGTGTGGCTTTACTTTCTCCAGTTAGGGTTCTCTGTGACAAAATGGTTAACTGCTTTGCCACAGAAACCCTTCAGGAAAAAGTTAATGAACCAAACATTCCTGAAAGTAAAAATCCCCTTAAAATATACACTTATCATAGGTCACTAAATTTTGTTTGTAACTTTATTTACATATTATTTTAAAAAGAAATTTATGAAAAGGAATAGTCAATAAAAAGGGATGAAGTAGAGAATTTAATGGAAGCCTCTTGGGCTAAAACATGTTTATCGCAAAACATGCCAGTTACTATGCGTATTACTGAAATGATTAAAATGGCCTTTGTTTAAAAATACAAAAACCTTCCCCCTGTATCCCCTAAAATTATATTTTTATTATTTATTTATAATTATGTCGAGCCCTAAATACTTCGCAGGTACAAACAGAACCATTGCCATAAGCTACACTTGTTAGGGACTGGCCAATGATGGGTATGGATGATACAGGTATTGAGGTGGACTCATAGAACAAAATGCCATGGACCATGTTGTGTGGAGAGCGTACATCAGAAAGGATAAAGGAAGAAATGATTGCAGAAAGGATGATAGCTGAGCGACTGAGAAGAAACAGACTAAACACAAATGTTGACAACAATGGTTTTGAAATCCCATGCCATAAGTGTGGAAGACTTTTCCTAATGCAGGCAGGCCTTGCTAGTCACACTCGCCATCACCATGGCTGTAAGTCTCATGCCTCCTCATAGCACAGTATGAAACTACCCTCTGGAAAGATGGAAAGGTGCCAATCAATAGGGACTGGCCATTACAACAAAACATGCTTCACAGGGATCTGTAGTAGACAGTGAAGCCTAATGATCAGATTATCAGAGTCTGTGTGAAAAGGTTTAGCTACTGGTCTCATGATATGAAGTTTGTGTGCTCGATTTTTCACTATGTCCTTCAACTCGCCAGTGTCAGCGTTTCATGAATCCCTGAGATCACTGCCCCCCCCCCCCCCCCCAATTCTGGAGGAAAACGAATACACCCACCGCCCTCCGAGCAGTGGGCCACGAGCTTGATAAAACTGCAGAAAATAACTTGCTTCAAGATCACAAAATAACTTTTGTAGATAGTTATTAAAGAAAACCAATATAATTTGGTCGGATTAAACAAAACAAAAAAAGTCTGTTATGTAAATATTAACAGTGATAATCAGGAGGCACAGCAGGCTTCAAATTAACATGGATATTTGGTCTGTCACCCCCCTATTGCTCAACAACTTATTAGTTATCAAGTTTTTTGTCAACTGGTGTGGGTGACTGCTTTTCCACTTCTTATGATTTCCAACTGTGTAGTTAGTGTTCTTTGGATATTGTCTCCAGGTCAGGCAGGTGTGTTGGGAAATGAACAGGCAGACAGAATGGCAGGTTCTGCACCAGTGGGGTGACAAATTTATGCATGACATTTTAGACATGGTTAATGCCCCTTAGGAACAATTGAACAATGTTGAAGCAGGAACAGATCATTATGGTCTGGAGAGAATGGTACTGCTAGGAGTGACTAGAGAATCTGGTTGACACTCTACACACAGAGGAAAGGCAAGGTGGATACATAATCAAACTGCTGCTAGCACCCTTGAAATTCAAACTCTTTGCTGGCTGCTGAAGATGAGGACAGAATGCTCATGGGAATGTCTTGAGTGTGGTGATGTCAGTGCTTAGCTCAACACTCAAGTTTATCACAATGTGTGCTAAAATCTCTGCATACACACACAGGCCGGCTCTTCTCTCACTGTCCTCCTCTATCTCTCTAGCCACGGTTTTTGCAGTTGTAACAATAGTTTTCATTTTAATAATCTTACAATGTGATCAATAATTAAAGACCCTTATTTCTGATGTTTATAATCGGTTATCTTTTTGTGTGTCCTAGGAATCTTCAAAACATTTAGATTATGTAAGCTGTCCCTGGAAATTTCAGCATTCATGTGCAAAATCACATCTCTGAGACTTTAAGAGGTTTCGTTGCTGTTTTTTTTTTTTTTTTTTTTTTGGTTTACTGAACAGATCAGGTCCCTTAACATGCAAAAATGATACTCCTGTCTCTTTCCCTCACACACACATACTCATAGTCATGAAAAGGTCAAAATCTGTTTAACTCTTATTCTTTGCGGATATGACCCTGGCTCTTAGGTCGACCCAGTCTTAAATATGTACCATCTAAAGTCTTAGAAAGAAAAGGCAGCCAGCGTGATGATGATGGCGTCACCTGCTGAGTGCTAATTGGTCCATAAAATATAGCTCTAGCCCTATATGCCCAGTTCACATGCAGGCATGGAAAAAAGTACTTTATACACACACATATATATATATATATATATATATATATATATATATATATATATATATATATATATATATACACACACACACACACACACAAAACACACTCATATATCTATCTAGTGGTTTTTATCATTTGTTACAGTAAATTATAAATACAAAACATTTGGTTTAAATCCCAATAGCTAACAATAACATCATTTAAATAACCAAAGCCAGCTGATCAATGTTCTAGTTAAACAGAAGTGAGCCACTAAATGTAACTAAATATCATTTCCACCTCTGGAAGAATAGTTACACTTTACATTCCTCTTTACATTACTACATCTCCAACACTTTTCAAAGTCCTTGATAACGGCTAGGGGTCTTTAATGGCTGGATAAGGGGTCAATATCTGGGTACCCCCGTGTGGGTTCCAGGGCCCTGCTATGGGAAAAACAAGAATAGACCCACCGCCTACCCAAAAGCATGTCGTAAGAGTTGACTAATTGGGAGCTTCCTTCTAAGTCGGAGTGCATCTGCCTGAGAGGCAAGGAACCAACAGTCTGCATACAGATCTGTCAAACGGATGCACACGCAACACTCAGGTTCTGGAACAGGACTGCAGTCCAGAAGTGGAAGAAGAACCAGAACTTCCACCGGAGTTCACAGCCGGTGAACGCGAAGAAGAAGAAGAAGAAGAATATCTGGGTAGAATAATCCGAAAAGGTTGAGGCAATCCCTGAGAGATACTGTCATTGGCAGTGTTAAATGCTAGACCTTCACAAATGTGAGGTCACGACCTGGGGTGAGGTCGCTGGCTATCCTCCTGATTGCTTCAGCTGTTGAGACAACTCTCTTTAAAAAAATGTAATTGTTTGGTAACAATTTATATTAGCTTAGTTATGAGTTGTAAGTAAAGAACTGATTTTAAAGCCCTCGGGACATTCACATAAGCACCCTGTCCCCAGCTTCAGCAGCAAACACAGTTCCAATTCCGGTGGTACCACCAGTAACAGTCTGATTATATGTTTGCACCCGCCCTGAATGAGTCTAGTAGAACTACGAGGGGGGGATTACAGCAACCTGACGATGTGATCTATGCATTTCAGCTAAAAGGATTCATTTTGTGTGCTTCATTATATGTTGATTCAACTCTGTAGTAATGATGATAATGATGAGACAACAGTTAGTTGTGTATCCTTTACAGGACGTTGTAGAACCAGTTCGAGTATTTTGTTTCTTGTTGGCTGTTGTGGTTCTTCTAGGCATAACCCTCCGCAGCGCTGGAGTTGAGTCAAAGAAAACATAAACTATTCTCTGGTCGTATTAGAGTCCAAGATTTTTACTCTGCATAAAAAAAAGTCAACACAATATGAAGTAAAAGAATTAATTTTCTTCTTCTTCTTCAGCAGTCGCCGTGGCCGAGCAGCTAGACGTTCGCCGCGGATCGGAAGGCCAAGGGTTCACTCCCTGGCAGAGCCGGACTTTTTTCAAATATGACCTTGGCTCCCAGGCCGACCCAGTCTTGAGTGGGTACCGGGTGTAGTCCTGGGAAGTAAAGACAGCCGGCGTGATGCTGACCACATCACCCATCTTGTGCCGATTGTCTTTAAAAATATATGTCTAGCCCTATATGCCTTATGGAGTGGAAAAGGGTCCTTTACTTTACTTTTTAAATTTTTTCTTCAGTATTCAGAGCCCTTGAGTTTCACTGTTGCAGGTATCACCCGCTTCCATCCTCTCTCTGGTTGGCCTTCTCTTTCCAGTTGGTGACACCAAGTGTTTGAAAGTCTGTCTGGATATTATCTCTCCATCATCTTCTCGGTCTGCCTCGTGGTCGACGACCATTCATCTCCCTCATGTATACAGTTTTTACTTCTCTGTCATCCAACATTCTTTCAATATGCCCCAACCATTTCAGTCTTTTAGCTCTCATGATGCCAGTTATCAGTGGTGATTTAAAAAGACTATGAATTTTGTTGTTGCTTCTCACTCTCCATTCACTGCTGTTTGCATCTGTGATGGGTCCACAGGTTTGTCGTAAGACTCTGAAAACCTGTAATAAGGTTTCATCTCTTTTAGTTGTGCTCCAAGTTTCAGAGCCATATAAAATGACTGGTCTTATCAATGTTTTATATATTTAGATCGTGGTGTTGCGAAACAGACAATATGACTTTAGCAGATGTTGAAGGGCATAGTATACTTTATTTCCAGATTGTATTCTAGATTGTATTTCTTCTCACAGCACGTTGGAGCAGTTGAAGTTTGCACCCAAGGACTTATATGTTTCCGTTTGTTTGATTTTCACATTATCGAGTTGTATGTGGCCGGAGTTTATATCCTTTCCCTGTCTAGTTATTATCATGTATTCTGTCTTATCTTGACTGATTTCTAGTCCCATTTTCTGAGCTGATTCTTTTAAGACAGTCAGTGTTTTAACAGTCTCTAATTCATTTTCTCCAACGATATCAATGTCATCAGCGTATCCAAGTATTTGGTTATCCTCCGAACAACTGTCCCAAATTATTAAGGCCGAAAATATAACCTAACAGGGCCTCAGTCACATGTAAATTGCGGACTTCTGGTGACTATACTGCCACAGCCGAGAGTATCTCCTGCGCCGCTACGCGCAGAGCGGA